CCCCTTCCTTGTGGGGACTGTCGCCGACTTCGAAATTCTGGGCGTTCCCGGTCGCGCCAGTCTCGGTCGCGCTCGCGACTGCGTTCATCTCTAAAATGCGGCCTATCACGGTAGTCGGCATCGCGGTCGCGCCCACGGTCTCTACTATCGTCCCGCCAGCCGCGACCGCGGCCACCACCTCCGACCGGGCCACCGCCTCGACCCCTTCCACCACGGAAGTCGTTGGCGAAACCACCCCCCCTGGCGCCTCCAGGAGAATCGAGCAGTGCCTTTGGTGCCCGAGGCGGATCGCGTCCTGTCAGCGAGTCGCGGAAGAGTTCTCGATTTGTTTGAAAGCCCGCCGCGTTAGCTCGTGTGTCGACGGACTGGCGTCGACGGTCCCCGTCCCCATACTTATCCGCATACGGTCCAGGCGATCGATCTCGCGGCGAGCGCGAACGCCGATCCGTGTCGTATCTGCCGCCGTACCTTGACCTATACTCCGGGTGGTAAGCATCGAGATGAGCAGCGTGGCCATCACGAGGATGACGGCGCGGAGGAGTACGGCGGCCATTGTAGGAACGGTAATCCGGGACAAAATGGTGGTGGCTCGGTCGCATTGCCTCATAGCATCCACAGGTTGATGCGATCGTCTTGCTGTGGTTTGCGAATCACGGCGATCGTGGGCGAAAATATTGGGGAAAAGAATGACAAAGAAGGCGGTTGAGAGGTAACGTACATTTTGAGGAGGGCAGGAGCCCTCAGACTTTTCTCAGGACCTCAATCCGGCATGCGCATGTCAGAAGGTTTACTGAATAAGGCTGTAGCCACAGAGCCAGTATTGCGGGCCGTTGGCTTATCAAGGTGCGCAGCGGAGGACTTGATGTCGCGGTGGCGGTAGACGTCCACGCACAAGGCCTCGTGGCTGGCGGATGCTTTCGTGCTTTGCCTTCGCGATTCCACAACGGCTACTCCCGGTGGCAAGCAATGAAAATGGCGCCACTTCAACTGCCGATCCTGATGTTTGCCGCGAAATAATGCACTTCCTCGGCGGCGCGATTTGTTGATGGCGAAATGGCTGATGTGTTCAACGCGAATGTGGTGTTTTGGGGGAGAAACAGGACTGAAGATTGGATCGAGTGGATCTCGAATTGCTGCCCTCCCAGTGACCCCCGGTGCCCGGGCCAAGGGCGGGTACGTACCGGCAAAGGTCTTGGACTGAGTGGCCCTTCAAGCCTGGACCCACACGCCCGGCCCACACCACCCTGGCCGCTAGTCTTGTTTCGTCAAACCGTGGGGACTGTCTGTGGCGGCGGCTAAAACGCAGAAAATTTAGAGGCTCCCCTGCCCTGTCTGACAAACTCCTTCGGGTCCCGGTCGCAGTTGCCCGCATCTCGAATCTCGGCCCAATCAGGCAGTCCTGACAAACCGGCCTTGGCGATCGAGCTTGCACAACGCCTCACCTAGAACGAAGACTCATAACATCGTGGGGCCGTGTCACAAACGTTACCTACTTACTCAGTCCCGAAATCAGAGACCCTTAAAGATTCATTTTTCGTCACTTGCGGATTATTCAACCCCCTGGATCGGATCGACACACACCCGTTACTCCGGCTCACACGCCTTGGTACCATCAGTGGCGGCGTATTGCTTGTCATTTGAGGCCATCTGCGATGGCCGATCAACCCCCCAGTGCCGCTACGGAAGCGGTTCTGGCCAAATCGGTTGAGATGCCAGAGGGCGCCCAAAAGGTGGAGGAGCTTGACTTCAACAAGTTCAAGGGCCGGCCCATCACCGTTGACGACCTCTACCAGGGCATGAAGAACATGGGATTTCAGGCATCTTCGGTGTGCGAGGCCATCCGGATCATTAATGAAATGGTCGGATACCACGCACCGTCAAAAACAAGGGAATCACACTAACATTCACTCCAGCGAGCATGGTCAGATCCCGAAACAGGAGAGAAGACAACCATCTTCCTCGGGTACACGTCCAACATGATCTCCTCTGGTCTCCGCGGTGTGTTTCGCTACCTTGTCGAACACCGCCATGTCTCAGCCATTGTGACGACCGCAGGTGGAATCGAGGAAGACTTTATCAAGTGTCTTGGCGACACCTACATGTCGTCCTTCAGCGCCCCAGGTGCCGAGTTACGCGCCAAGGGCCTTAACCGCATCGGAAACCTTGTCGTCCCCAACTCAAACTACTGCGCATTCGAGGACTGGGTTGTTCCTATTCTTGACAAGATGCTCGAAGAGCAAGAAGCCACCTGCGGCACCGACGACGAAATCCACTGGACGCCCTCCAAGGTCATCCACCGCCTCGGAAAAGAAATCAACGACGAGCGCTCCGTTTACTATTGGGCCTACAAGAACAACATTCCTGTCTTTTGCCCCGCCCTGACTGATGGCAGTCTCGGCGACATGTTGTACTTCCACACGTTCAAGACGTCGCCGAAGCAGTTGCGCGTCGACATCGTTGAAGATATTCGAAAAATTAACACCATCGCGGTCCGCGCCAAGCGTGCCGGCATGATAATTCTCGGCGGAGGAGTTGTCAAGCACCACATCGCAAACGCGTGCCTCATGCGGAATGGTGCGGAGTCTGCCGTCTACATCAACACGGCCCAGGAGTTCGACGGCAGTGATGCTGGCGCAAGACCGGATGAAGCCGTATCGTGGGGCAAGATCAAAATAGGGGCCGACGCTGTGAAAGTATATGTGGAGGCGACGTCGTGTTTCCCTCTGATCGTGGCCAACACTTTTGCAAAAGAGCAGTAAATAGATGCAAACAAAGCCACTTCAAGCAGGCGACCCATCCTTTACCGTTATAGGCACGACAAGGGAGTTGTACGAGGGTTCGATGGCTTTGCGAACAGGTCTACTCAACAGTGCGGAAGCCCTGCCTGGGGAAGCCCATGAGGGTATGGTCGTGTCGGGAGCGCCCAGTGAGCTTCGCTTCCGCAAGGTCACCAATGTGACCTTCAGGGCGCGCGGCGCGCGCGGCCTGCAAGTAGACGTGGATGTTATTGAACAATGCTTGGTACCCCTATCGTCATGCAAGGGGCACTCGATGGCTTTGCAAAGGCCGCTGGCAGAACCTTCAAGGTGTGCACTGTTCCGAGTAAGCGAACCCGGTAGATTGATACGGCGGCATGACGCTAGGTATGGCGATAGGATCTCTCCCATGACCTGATCGCTATATACAACATCCTCTGTATCCATCAAATCTCTCCTGTCCGGCCCTCCTCTTTGGTCCTTTGCCTTGCGGCAAGTACCGCTTTGCCGACGGTGCTGTCATGCGGCTTACCCACTTCACTCGTGATCCAGGCCCCGATATCTGCCACGGCATCCAGATCCACGCCTGTATCCATACCCAAGCTCTCCAGGAAATAGACCATGTCCTCGGTGGCGACGTTGCCCGACGCACCCGGGCTGTAAGGGCAACCCCCCAATCCCCCGACGCTGCTGTCGAAAGTACGGATGCCGTGTTCGAGCGCTACGGCGGTGTTGACCAATGCCTGGCCGTATGTGTCGTGGAAGTGCATCGCAATGTCCTCGTTTCGGATCCCCGCGTTGCGAAGGCAGTTAAGCAGGTCCTTGGTGCGCGGTGCAGTTCCCATGCCTGTAGTATCACCCAGTGCGATCTCGTCGGCGCCCATCTCTAGAAGATCCGTCGCAATCTCGGCCACACGATGTGGGTTCACATCATAGCCCTCGAACGGACAGCCCAGAACCACCGAAATGTAGGCGCGCACCCGCAAGTCAGCGTCCTTGGCTGCTCGGATAACCTCGCCGAAACGGTCGAGCGATGTGGCAATCGAGCAGTTGAGGTTCTTTTGCGAGAAGGACTCGGTAGCTGCGGCGAATACGGCGATTTCGAGGGCAGGTTTACGCGAGCCGTCTACTGTTTCTGCTGTCCTCCCAAGGCGTTGCGTCTCGGTTTCGAATGCGGTCGGGTATCGGGACAGGATCGCGCTGGCGCTATCCAGCCCTTTCAGATTCGGGGCCAGAAAGGAGAAGGTGAGCGGGCGCCGAGAGGGGACGTCGTGCTTCAGGATGTGCTCGAGGATTTCACCCGAGTTGTTCATCTAGACGGCAGCGTTAGGCCTCGCCAGAGCTTCAGGGCGCGACAAGTGGAGAGGTGCTGCGGGGTCAGCTCACCTGCGGCACCCATTTCGGCGACACGAAGGCGCCCGCCTCGATCGACGACAGACCCGTTTTCGCCAGTCGCTGAATCAAATCGATCTTTGTCGCCAGTGGGATCGATTTCTTCTCGTTTTGTAGGCCATCGCGGGCGCCGACCTCGACAAGCTTGACGTGGTTGTCCAAGCGTGGCTGGGAAGCGCCGTCCGCGGTCGTGCTAGCCGTCGCGTACTGTCGGACGCCAGCAGCACGACGAGAGCTGCAGCGGAGGAGCTGGCGGGAGAAGAGCGGGAGCCTCGCCATCGTTTATGGTATTGTTCTGCCCATGGAATTGCGACAGTGGTGGCGAGCTGGATGGCGGGTTGAAGGTCTGGGAGCTTGGCGAGGAGTGACGTTGACGCATAGCGTCGGGATTGAGCAAACATCCTTGCCGCATCACGTGGTCAGCTTGAAACCAAGGTCCCTGCAAACAGCAGGGAGACCAGATTACAAGACCTGTGCACCATTCAACGACGAAGTCGCTCGCAGGTTATACTTCTTAATCATCTTGTCCCTCATATCGAGTGGGAGCAGGGTGAAGAGTCTGTAACTCAGTAGTGGGCGCCTCTGACGACCTCGACGGACACTGCTGCAAACTTGATCCTCCAGGCGCTCGCCCCCGGCCCCCCCCCCTCCCGCCACCCATAGACGCCTCCAGTCCGGACGTCCCCATCCCTGATATCACCAGTTGAACTTTTATAGGCAGTTTGTCTGTCCCGAGGTCAACATGAGTCAAGCTACCCGCCCAGAGCTCCAGCAATCGGTGGGGATGAAAGGCTGGTCGACACCCGGCATCCATAACTACCAACGCGCACAACACAGAACAACCAAGTCCCAGGGCGACTAGTATAGTGGTCAGTACAGTTCGTTGTGGTTTCTAACCTCATTCCGAACAAACCCAGGTTCGATTCCTGGGTCGCCCATTTTTGCCTGGTTTGATCTACGCTCCAGATATTCTGCTGTTGGGGTGTGGGCAGCCGGTTGATCTGAGATGCTTCGGAGTTCGGGAGGATCGCACCAATCGGTTGTCATAGCTCGGTAACTGCGATTTGGGCGTCAGCGACAACGAGTCAAACCATATTATCTCGTTCGAAGTGCCGTGGAACTCGATTAAGTGGTGTATCTTGACGGAATCTTCATGGCGACATCATTGGACACCAATCGAACTCTGCGCGGCACTCGTCACACAGAAGGCCACTCTTCCCGGGAAAGAGTTTAAAATCCTCCGGCATGCAAGGTTGAAGCTCCAGGTCACCAGCCTGAGGCAGCCGTGACAGCTCACAGATCGGATGAACGGGTGAGGCACAGCAACTCCCCGCTGGTCGACCCCGCACTGTTTGGGCAGCTTGCCCAAGAGCCCAACGAACAACAAAGGGGGCTTCTCGCCTCTATTGAGCCGAGTACTCACGCAGGAGTCTCTAATGCCAACGACTCGGTCGATACCTTCACCTAACGTATCCAGCTTCACAGAAGACGGGACGCGACATCGGCTTGAGAAGGGAGACTCAGCACAAGGCAGGCCTCGTTGAGCCCACGAACCCCACTTTCGACTTCAAAGCAGACCTCAAGGACGGAACTCATCAACGCCAGGGGGGCGACACAGCTATGCTCGACATCTTGCTTGCGTGGCACCAGCCAGGTACGCTCCCAAATGAATCTCAGTAACTCGAAGTTTGAAGAGTCCGAACAGGATAGCGTCACGGCCCAGATCCATGTGGGCGCGCCCCCGGCACTGCTTCCACGCAGCCTGTGTTGAAAACATTGTTGGCCAAGGCAGACTTGTTTGACCGTTCTGCAGTGTCAGCGGTTTCTCAACGAAATGTAGCGACGCGAAGCCGCCGGGCGAGCCTGGTGCTTTGACGCTTCAACCTTTCGCGTGGGAGGGAGCCGACGAGGCTGTGTCGGCCGCCTCCATCGTCAGTAGAGGCCCGATTGCTACCCTCGAGCCTTCAGCAATATGCTGCCTTCATTGCCAACCCATTTTCTTATGAGACAGCACCGGGCGGACCACGGATTGCCTCTCCCATGACGCAACACTCCGCAACATTCGGATGCGCCGTCATGGGCGCGTGGGGCAGGAGAGCTGCCGCGGGAGGTGAAAGGTGTGCGCTGTCGCAAGAAGGGCTTCGACCATCATTTGCCAATGTGAGCCGTGGCGAGCTTTGTGTTGTCCTTGCTCAATCGGCATGGCACCGCGGTGCGCCTATCCACGTCAGATCGAGGTCTGCCGGTGAGGGGCAGGGAAACACACAGCACACAAGTGGTGTGGCGGTGTGGGAACAGGGGGCCGAATTGGGCACCAAACCACGCCGCGCTGCCGCTTCGGCTTCGAGATTTCGTCGCAGCGATGATTTCGAGATTTAATCGCTGCGACGATTTCGAGGGTTTGTCGCAGCGATTCTTTTTCCTGGGCGAAACACTCCTGTTTATCACCATCCGCAGCTGCCGACTATGAGCCCCCTCCGCGCTCTTCTTCAACATCGCCCGGAGAGACTGCACCGACGCACCGACGCGCCCGCCTGTCCCGCGGCAAAGCTTCAGAAAGTGAAGGCTCAGAGCTGGCGTTGCTCTGTTCCATGTCGTCTCCCCTCGCGAAGGATTCTTACAAGGTATGTTCGGAGCCTGGCGTACTAGAACATGGCATTCTAACATGCGCAGCATAAACTCCCGCCATCGAGACGCAAAAAAACATCAGCTTTGAAGCTGCCGGGAGGGGAGAAGTACCACATCCTTCGTCTCTGTGCCGACGATCCCGAAAACGACACGACTGCTGCAGAACTGATCGACCGAGCCAAGCGTCACTCGAACGCTGCCCACAAATCGCAAATCAACACCGAGTCGCTCGTCGCGGAGTACTACATTGAGCGTACAGAACAGAGAATCTTGAACGCTCTACAAAGGTTGGAGCTACGGGAGGCCGAATCACCGGACAGGCTAGGACATTTCGATTGGGATTTGCCGACGAAGCGGAGGAAGTGCCAGCCAGGGAGCCTGCCGCAACCGATCAATGACCAAGCACCTCCCCGCTGGGCTCAAAGGCCGACCTTCCGGGAAGAGCAACGACGCCACGAAGGGTTCTAGCAACGTCAGCGGTGGACCTCCTGAAAAGCTACTCTCATGTCCCGTCCGTGACGGGGACCCGCGTCACTATGCCAACGTCACGAGGCAGTGTAAAGCGAGTCAAACATTCAGGGATGTATCAAAACTGAAGTGAGCGAGCTGGTGCACTCAAATAGGCGAGAAACTTGGCTAACCATTTCGGCAGCGAACATCTCGAACGGTATCATTCCCCTTTTCGCCGGTGCTTGGAATGCTGGAAGGATTTCCCAACCCCAGCGCGGAGCGGTCTGGAAAGGGCTATGCGAGAGCACCGCAAGGAATGTCTCGGCATCAAACCCGACGAAGAGGAGCGAAGCAAACGACGCACTGTCATTACGGAAGCCCAATATCAGCAGGTCCGCAATTGGACCCAAAAGCTCAAAGAGAATTCCAAGGGGGGTAACGGAGACAGGGCAATTGACCGCCATTACAAGATCATCTACGATATCATCAACCCTGAGGGGACGCCCGCTCCAGATGCTCGTAAGTCTACCCGGCATACCCCAAGTCTACAGGAATCTTGCTGACTTGTGCGGACTAGGGATCACGCAGCCGACGCTCTCGCAGGCTAGTTCTTTCCCCCATGTCCCTTCACCGCACGGCGTACCATCTGGCCAACTGCCATTGCAGAAGCAAATGGCTAGAATTGCGGAGCCTGACGCCGGATATTCTGGCATCGGCCCGCTACCGTCGTTCGTCTTTTCAGGGTGCGGCGACACCGACAACCCCAACTATTACCCCTATTCTGACGAGCCATGGAATCCTTGGATTGGCCACGATCATGTGGCATTGGTGGAGAAGGTGGCCACTACCCACCCATATTCTCTCGATCATCGTGTTTCAGCGGGACTCCGACAATACGCCATTAGCCAACCATTTTTCTCTCCGGCCAGCTCTGGGCCTCCATCCATGGCTCATTCGGATGGCTCAGCCAGCACTGGGGTAATCCCGCCGCCACCCACCATCCCGAGTTATGCACAAGGTTATGGCATCGCGAAGCCGGAGGATGAGATCATGCATACGGGCAGCATGAACGACCAAGTGTTATCGGTTTGCGAGGTGTACGGAGAAGATGACGGCGAATACGAACCTGAAAATATCTCCTTGGATGAGTATGCTGGGCCGTCTCTCGGCTTCGTACCGCCATGTTTGCAATTTTCGTAGATTGCGAACCGTCATGAGGGATTGGGCATTGTCTCCCCGAGGCCGGTGCCTCCAGGAGGCACGGGACAATGAGTCTCATTCTTGACGGGTCAATAGCGTATCTTATTCTAGTAATGCATGTTTTGGGGCCTCTATTGTGTGCAGTTCAGCAATGTGTTACCAATTTCTCCTGTTGGTGACGGTCTTGGTTTCGGTGGAGGTTGACGGAGTGGATTAGCCCGTGACTGAGTGGATGCGGGTGGCGACGGATGCCAAGAAGGGGGCCGGGCTATTGCTCATCCGACTTGGGGGAGAATTACCTGACACCCCTCCAACAGATAGCCAATTAAACGGTTGTGTAGTGTAGCGGTTATCACTCCGGATTCTGACCTTTCAATATTCCGGCAACCCCGGTTCGATTCCGGGCACGACCTCATTTTTTGCCCTTTGCACACCCACTTCTTGAAGCACCCCGCCCACCTGTCGCTGCGTTTGCGCTCCCCGTTACATAGGTGAGCTGTCTTGCGATGTCAAACTCCACCGACTTGACTTAGGTATGACCTGGCACCTCTGCGTCACTGACAGAGCACAGCTGCATGATACTTTCTCGAACGACATCGATATCACGCAGCCCTTCAATGGTCGAGGAGAGAAGATAATAGAGGCAATTTGGTCTTGGGTCGCGTCGAGAGCAAGTTGTCGTTCTGTCAAGGAAGGAAGGAACCTTGAAGGAACGACAACGCCCCTATCTAGGTAGCGGACATCTAAGACGGAAGCGTCTGGCCTCCCGTGCAAGACCGTCTCCAGAACGCAATGACCCTGCATCAAGAGCCCTGCAGAGAACGCAACATGAACGCCACCTCTTGCGGCACAAACCTGGCCAAGTTGCATTGCATCCACATCCTGCACGCTCGGCCGGCAACGTCCCAGAAAAGTAGTCTGTTTTCCGGGTTGAGGGCCTAACAAACACCGAGAAACCTCGCGAGGGGAAGAAATCAGAGCGTTTCCCCTATTTTTGGGCGGGCCCCTGGACCGTGGGGTAACGATAAGTCAGTGCCGTGCGAGGTCGGTTCGGTCGTAGCTCCAAGATCTTCACGCCAACTTGATCAGGATTGGCGTGCGGGGAAGAAATTTCACGACTATTTTCTCCCTAGTCAGCCTGCTACGTAACGATGGATGCCCGAACCTAGAACTATCGTTACAGGGGCCACGGTCGAGAGGAAGCTTGATCCATCATTGACAGGAGGGTCACATTCGGGTTGGTCAAGCATCTCATGATTTCCAGGAAACGACGGTCTCAGAATAATTAACCATCAGGCAACAAGAGTTACCCATCAAACTGTCGACTTGCAATTGTTCAACTGTGAAGCTGAACCCTTAATTTCAGTGGGACGACAGAACCTACCCTCACTCGCGATATCGTCATCTGGTCGTCCCGGCTATTGCCGCCTCACGAGACGGAGAGATGAAATGGCGACAGCGGATTGGGAGGATATTACACCGGAGTACCCGAAAGACGGTCGAAGACGATGTGGAACACCCAAGCGAAGCATCCGAGCCAAGTTCAAACCCCTCGACGCTTCCTTCGGCATATCACGAAAGTCGATGGCCCGAGATGGAAGAACAAGGGTGCCTCCAGGATGTAAGCTCCGAGTTTGGACGGATGCGCGTCTTTCTCCTGGGAGCGAAGGGGGTCGGCAAGCGGTCACTCTTGTTCAAAGTAGGTACAAACGCATTCACTTCTTTTCAGCTGTGGAACCTCGCTGATACTCGGCCAGTACATCTACGACGACATGGACGGGGGTCTGCGCTACCAAGAGGCGCGCCATGACCCTACTGGGCTTGACGAGACGCAGCTGTACAGATGTGGCGAGTATTTCCTCTCGATGGAAATCACCAAGAACCTGAAGTACGCAGAGGACTGCTACATCGACACGGCTTCCGCCGTCGGCGTTATTCTTGCCTACGACGTCCATTCTCGAGACTCACTTGCGTACATCTCACGCATTCACGACATCCTTCGCAATGAGTTGGCCGGCAGCGTGGGACGAGATCCGGGCACTCCGGGCCAGCCTCCAATGCCGTTCGAGGTGGTCATGCTTGGCCTCAAAGCTGATTCAGACTCGTCAGCGGTCGGGGAGCGAGTGCCGAAGGAGGAGGGCGAGCGGTGTGCAAGAGAGCGGCATTGCCGCTTTGCCGAGTGTTCAGCGAAAACCGGCGAGGGTGTTCAAGAGGTGTTCGCCTCCCTTGCCCAACGAGCGGTTGCCGTGGCGTTGTCCATGGAACCAGAGCAGGGCTGGAAGAAATGTCGAAATCGTATTGCCTTCAAAGACAGCCAGGACATGGTTGCGCGCGCTCTAAACGTCTTGCGCGAACATGAGCTCGACTGATGGCTGCCTTGCCGAACACTGCATCCTCCGGCCCGAGGTCGCTCCCAGCGCCGGTCATCATTTCGAAACGCGCTGTCTCCGTCGATATGAGTTCGTGGGGTGTTGATGGAGCGCATCTAGCCCCGAAGTAGCTTGGTTTAAAGACCTCCACTTTGTTGGGTGCCGTCCTTGAAGTGGCAGACACCTCGCCTACAAGTAGGCGAACTTTTGGTCTGAATACCTCTTGGCATGGTCATCCTCTGTGAGAGACTTGTCTTGTTTGATGTGGTTCGTTTTCTCTTTCTCCTCGAAAAGGGCCCCAAAAAGGACTGCCTTGCATTGTTACCTTGCAGCCATCCCTCTCCCCAAGTGCCGGATAGGAGAGCAATGTCACGCTCTTGAAGAAGGACATGGATGTTGGAGGCCAAGAGCCGCCGTCGGTCGAGCGTTACCGCAGGTCCACAAGGTATGTCCCCACACCTCACCACCACAGCAACCCAAGGACTTTTTTTTGGTCTGCAAGGTAGGTACCTACTTGCACCAGACCGAAAGGGCTTCACTGATTTTGACCCAAGCGGGCCTCAATGCAGTACGGTGTGTGTCGAGGTACATATTTACCCCTCGGGTGGACTAGGCGCCGTTATTCCTGCCGTTCCGTACTCGCCCGCCCTCGGCGATTGCCTTCATCGCCGCTGTCGGGGAAGGAGCGACTCCAAAGAGTCGCCAGCTCCATCCGCCACACTACCAGCAATCGACCCCTCCGCGGATGGAGAGAAGCTGCCTACTACTCGCTAGGCTATGCACGTGTTGGGCGGAGACAAACCCGCACGAGCAGACGCAAGCTCGAGTCTACTCGATAGCCTGATCCTTCACGACGACCTTTGGACCCCCAAACACCTTGGCAGGGACATCTTCGCTCCTCGAAAGCGGGTGCGGAACAAAGCCGACCCGCCAGCCAGCGTACCATCACTCTGCTTTTGTATCGATAGTCACAACACCAGCAACTAGTATGGCCGGACATGCAATCTCTCATGCAGCTGGCCGTTCGCATATCCCTGTCAATGACCTGACAGCAGCAGAGCCAAGTCCATTCTCATCTCCGCGACGGGTACAACTGTACAAAGCTGCAAGGAGGGGCTGCCAGTGCTCGTCAATCTCAAGATGACGGGTGGCTATAAACACAGCGAGTCCCAACATTAGCCACGAGGTCAGCGATGTTCTCGATCACGGACTCTCATTTCTGTCCCTCTTGAGGCAGTCCTTCTGCCTCGTCCTCTCCTTTTTGGGTCTGCCATTGTCGCAGCCCCGTCCTCTCCTTTACCTGTCAGTGAGCCGGCACGCAGATTCTGCGGCCGGTCTCGTCCGCTCTCTCGGGCAAGATGCACGTTCCCCGGTTCGGCCCGGCAGCGGCCGCCTGGATGGCCGTGCTCTTTTTCCTTCTCTTTTTGCAGCCGGCGGCATCGATCCCCTTCCCGGCCCCGTCGAATGCCACTTCCTCTGTCATCTCAGCTCGCGCCGGGAGCTTCTACCTGCGGATACTCCCTTTGGGCGCCTCCATCACCTGGGGTATGGGCTCAAGCACCGGCAACGGATACCGCAAGGATCTGCGTGACCAGCTCCGCTTCGATGGCTGGAACGTGAACATGGTGGGCAGCCGGAGCGGCGGTTCCATGAAAGACAGCGTACGGTTCTTTCCCCCAGCGCGCCGGCGTTGACGTTGACATGTGGATAGGACGTTGAAGGATGGTCTGGCTACCGCGTCGACCAAGTCACGGTGCGGGCGCAGGTGATCGTGCCTCTCACCAAGCCCAACGTGGTTCTGATCAACGCCGGAACCAACGACGCGGCCCAGAACTTCTACGTCATGACAGCCGGCGACCGAATGCGCGCTATGATCAACTTCATCTTCAGCCAGTCCCCAGGCGTGAGCGTCGTGCTCTCAACCCTGCTGCCCAACGCAAACGTTCAGTCGAACGTGAACCTCATCAATATGCAGTACCGCCAGCTCGTCCGGGACCTCGCAGCCCAAGGCCAGAAGATCGTGCTGTGCGAGATGGACGACGGGTTCATAACCACGGCCGACCTTCCTGATGGTGTCCACCCCGCGGATGCCGGGTACAAGAAGATGGCCTCCAGGTGGCACCAGGCCATCGGACGTCTTGAGACCAATGGCTGGCTCGTGGCGCCCACGGATGCCGTCTCCTTTTCAGATGCTTCGGGCGCGACAGGCCTCTGCGAGAAGGTTGCCGGGAGTGGCAACAGCGATCCTCGCGGCAAGACCCAGGTGCTCAAGGCCTTATCGCCACGCATCATTGACGACGGCCCATATACGCACAGCTCTCAGTCCATGGGAAGCATTCACACTGGCTTCTACGTCGAGCCTGATGATGTGTGGTTCGCCCAGGTGGTCAGCAACGGGGCTGACCGCGGCGGTGAGCTCGATGACTGGGTCTTTAGTCAGGGCAGCGAGATATATTACCGCGAGAACCTCGGCAGCGGCTCGCTGGGCGCGAAGACGCTCATTCCCACTCTTACCGGGAAGTGCGCACCAGCTGGTATCCGATGGGGCGATGTCAACAACGACGGGTTAGACGACTTTATCTGTTTGAGCACGTCAGGAGCCATGTAAGCGGTGCTCTGCTACCACCAACTTGTCAGCACAGCGACTAACCGAGCCAGGAACGTGCATATCAATGATGGAAGCAAGCCACCGGTGTTCCGCAGCGTGGGGCTCTACAGGTCGGCGCCAGCCGGGTATACCAGAGCCAATGTCCGCCTCGGAGGTGGGTGTCCCGGTGTGCTTGACTCGGTGTGAGATGACTCTAACAGCAGAACAGACATCGATGGCGATGGCCGACTCGATTACTGCATTGTAACCGGCGCCGGCAACGTCCGCTGCTGGCGGAACGGCGGCCAACGCGACAAGGCGGACTACTGGCAAGATTTCGGTCAAGGCACCCACATCTTTCCCAGCCAAGGCATGGGGAACATTGCCGGCGTGCAGCTCGTTGATCTGAATGGAGATTTCAGAGCTGACTGGATCTGGATCAGCGACACCGGGCAAG